CTTGCTCCATCTCTGAGCGTACTCTCAACTGGCGAGCAAATGCTCAGAATTGGTAGGAATAAAAATAAGCGTTTACTCTCTAGAGTGAGCACTTGTTCCAAAATTTCGGAGGGACCTTAGTAGCAGACCCACGTTTGAAAAGTAAAGTTAAATTGGCCGATTTTTTACCGTGTCCTGAAATGCAGATGCAGTGAACTAAATAAATTTCAAGATAAGGCGAAATTCTCATTATGTAGACTATTAGAATCTTTGCCCATTCGAAAAGGACAATGCATGTTTGGTACGATTTTTATCGGCGTTTGCTTTCAGGCGCGTTTTCATATTGCATATCTTTTTTGTTAATTGGCCATCGCTCTTTTCTACTTGGAATTTTTCGGGGTACTGTTTTTTGAAACTTAGTAATGTTTCGTTTCGGTCACAGCGTACCTCCAGAGGCTGGTCCGTTTCAAATATAATTTTATATTCTCTTAGCATTTCGACAAAAACTGGCTGGGCCTCTGGCGCCTGTTTTTCGTTACTGCAACTCATATTCGAATTTAAAGAACGAGACAACAAAACATTGCTCTTTATTCCGCAAAAATGTGCGCGACGCGCGAAACGTATGTAACCTCTTTGTTACTCAAGAACCCAATTTTTAAAACTCTTAGCCTGCATTATCTGTTGTTCACGACGTGCAAATGCTCGCGAGACATGATTAAGTTCTTCGGAGACATACGAAGTTTTTATTCATACGAAATGGAGCTTTTGGTCAGTGCCACGGAGTAGACTCATTTTGCTCCGGAACAAGTGCTCATTTTTATTAATATGACCTAATATTTCATTGATGAAAAATATCTTATTTTATTGTAATAATTTACAGAATACTTCTTTAATGTATTGTAAGTTTAATTTAATTTGTTAACATGTTTTAGTATAAAACTCAAAAAAGGAATTATTTCAGCAAATGTTGCAAGATTTTAAAATAAATATCCGGCAGTGAACATCACTAGCGCGGAAACCATACGTATGATTTCTTCGAAAATGGATATTTCCAGGTAGATCTTGCTCGATGCAAGGCGCCACGATTTTGAAAAAATTTAATTTTTTGATGTCTATTAATTAAAATTTACTTTAGCTGCGATTTGTTCACATTTTTTAAATTTATGAGTATATGTACTTTAAATGTTTTATTAAGTTTCTCGAAAACTCAACAATTTTCTGTGAAAACGAGCTCCAAACTCCACATTTTAAGAAACGCTCAATCGTCATTTACTCAAAAACGGCTCCAAATTATTTCTTGAAACTTTTCGTACATATAGTGCTAATTGCAGTCTTTGAAATGACATTCGATCATTTCATTTTGATGAACTATTCCTTTGTTTTTTCAAACATTACACAAATGTATTTTGTAATACCTCTCAGGCCGCCAATATGCACATTCCCAAGGATTTGTAAACACTATTGCATTTGTGAGTTAAAGTGTCTCAAATTACTTCCAATCAATTTTTTCGAAAACTTAAAAATTGTCTTTAATGTGTGTATGTATGTATAAAGTAATATTTCGGTTCTATAATTAGGAAACCTAAAAATTGAGAAAATGTCAAAAAAATGTATTTTGGGCGGCGATGTATGGCAGCTGGCAAGTGGTTGGGACAAGACCGTAAAGCCAGTCTACACCAAGAAAATTGAAAAACTTCACGAGAAAGTCTATTCCACTCTGTAGCTCCACTAGTGTTGTTATTTATTAACCATGTAAAGTAGAAGACAAAATATTAAACACACATTTATGCCCTAATCAAGTTACCCACACACCGGCGCGAAATATCCGCGCTCAACACAAAAAGTCCACAGCGGAAGTTAAATGCGTGAAATTTACGATTAGTACGTTCAGACCTCCGCGACAGGCCAGGTCGCAGAATTGCGGTGTTCAGTCCGCGGCGAATTTTGTTTCACAGTCGGACCGTCTTCTTCCACAGTCGCTCGAGTTTCACAGAGGATAAAGCATGGCAGTCTAGTCAGATGTCGAATATTTTCAGCTCGCCAGTAATTCTGACACGACTGTACATACAGGGAAAAAAATTCTGTATGTACATCGTGATCAGTCATAAAATCCATCTTAAAATTAGTGTAAATAACATTTTTTTAAACTCAGATTTTACTTTATCGCTGCAGCTACCACGACAGAGAGACAGTAATGTAAACCTGCTCGAAGAAAACGGCGAATTTTCGCAGAAAAATCTTAAGGGCCCTAGCAATGGCAAAATGGATAACTCAAAATGCTAAATTTAGAAAAAAATCCTCTAGCACGTGGTTTAGTCAGAATCCAAGTTCTGTCAGTCCTTCCGACCGATAAATCGATAGACGGCAAAACGTCTGTGAACAACGCCTGCGGCTAAACCTTTCAGCTGATTTTCTCCCAAATTGTTATTCCCCAATCGATATACCTGATGTCCCGGCCCCTTAGATTTGAAACCGATAATTTAATTTTGGGGGTTGCTTTACATGAAGCCACTTGGACATTTTCAAAAAATGGTTATTTTCTTTTAAAATTTGTAATTGGATGGTATGAAGGACATTTAAGAGTGTCTCATATTCGTTAAAAACCTGATTTTTCGAAAATTGACAAAATTCAAAAGTTTTCGGTGTCTTCTTGGAACTACAATTATAAAGATAAACAGTTTTTTGTTAATGAAATGCATTCAAGAAAAACAGATCTAAAAATGACATGATGTAGCTCTATAAAAAGCAGTTATAATTGTCAAGTTTGTGTTGATATTTGCTTGAAAATATTTGTTTTTTTCACCAAACGTTCTACGATTTGTAATGAGTTTCACAAAAAATGATGACTGAGATGTGTTAATTCAGAGAGAAATTGTGGTATCAATTGTATTAGACAACTATTAGTAAAGACGAGAAAGTAGATGCTATTTTAACATCATTAATTTTTTTCTTAAAATTACTACATGTTAGTATTGTATTAATAGAATTATAGTTCTATATCTAATTATACACACTATAAATATATTATTTGATTGGAATTATTATTCCCATTAATGGACTTATTTTTATTTTCTAATTTTAGTGCAATAGCAAGTCATTCTTACGGTAGAAATAGATTTAATATTGTTAAGTGGAAAAATTTCTTATATCGTCTGTAATCAGATTCAAAATTTCATCAGAAGAGTCACTTCAAAATTTAAAAACAATAGCAAGTCGAGTGTGAGCCTTTCTACTTATTATTAGAGCATGCATTATGATATAAACATTTGTTTCTTTTGTAGGTTATTTTGTTATTAATAAATCAATTCGGGCCGCTAGTTTCTCCAAAAGGAAAATGATGCTCTAGTGAAAAAAAAGGTTGGAACCACTGGGCTAAATAGTTATATTATTTTCATTAAAATTGATATTAACAATGTTTTCTCAAAAAGTGATCAATCATTTTTGATAAAATTTTGATGCTGGATAGTCTGAAGAACGTTCAAGAGAATGATGCAGGTCTCATGTTGGTTTAAAAATCTGATTTTTCGAAATTTGAAAAAATCAAAATTTTTCCGGCGTCTTCCTACAACCTCAATTATGAAGATTAATATTTTTTCCCTTAATGAAATATGTTCATACAAACCTAACGATAACATGTTCAATTTTTCAAAAACGATTATTTTTTGTGAAATTGTATCAAATATGCAATTTTTATTTTCTTTAAACCTTTTTTCCTAAAAACGGTACATTTTTTTATTAAATTAGGACCTAGGATACCATAAAGGTCGCTTAAGAGAATGGCAAAGGTCTCATGTTCATTGAAATGCGTGATTTTTCTAACATTTAAAAAATTTGGGCATCTTTCTACAATTGGAAATCTGAAGAAACCTTTTTTTTTTTAAATATGAATATTTTTTGTGTAGTTTGATGACAAACATAACCACTCGCTCCAAATTTACTACGCTTCGTGAATGTAATTTCAAGCAGTACACTTCGTAAATTAGAATTTGTATACTTTTTCATAGTTCTTTATTCGTTCAACATTCAATCCTTTCTTATACATTTACACATTAATCTTTTAAAAATTAGTTAAAACTTACTTGAAATACAAGATAAAAATTTAAGCCTTGAAGGTATATCAGATTGGAATGCAACTATGGCTCAAGAACTAATTTTTGTGAATTACGTCTTATTGTTGGGACATGATTTATCTGAATTGATAGCAGTTATAACTCAAATTTGTGTTGATATTTGCTTGAAAATATTTAGTTTTTGCACCAAATGAACGATTTGAAATGAGTTTTAGCAAAATTATGGCTGAGATGTGTTATTTAGAAGAGAAATTGTGGTATAAATAGTATTTTATGACTATTAAAAAAGGTATTGTAATGTTTTAGCACCACTAGTTTTCTCTTATAGGCCAAAGAATGCTCATAAAAATAGCGCAAGTCAGCATTTCAGGAAAATTTATTTTCAAAAATTGCAAAAGTTAGAAATGTGTGGCATCTTCCTCCAACTACAATTGAAGATAAAGAATTTTATCTACAATATTAAAAATTACATTCATTTGGCACACATTCTATAACTGACAGTGCTTTTTTCAATGATGGAGGTTTTTTTTCATATTTCATACCTATTATAATGTAATTTACTGAAATTTAATAGTAAATAGTTAAGTAACTAATTGCAAGTGTAACTAATTGTTCCACATCCGCTGGAATTTTTATATTTTAAACAACGTAAATTTCCTTTATCTTTCATCACAAATTTAACTTAACAATATTTAGATTAAACACTAAATCATAATCATGTTTCTTTGATAGTACAATTTTCACTTTTATCATTTTCTGGACACTTTTCTCTGATGTCTAGCTTTGTTCTTATAAATATTCAGTATTGCAACAAAACTGATGAGTGTAAGGAAATTCAACTAAACAGCAGATAGTACAGGTATGTCATTCTTTTACATTTTTCATAAAAAGAAAAAAAAGAATGGGAACCCTTATGACTCTTCAAAGGCTATTCTAAAAAGACTTGATTCATACACTGTTAGAGTCACTTTATTTCAATACTACAAAACTTTTTAAAACATCTACAATAGCAATCATAAAATAATGTTTTTATTACATTTGTCCACATGCACGTATATTTACACAAACAAGCTTTCAAAGAACTTATAAAATTCACTGACAGGTACAAGGTTCATAAGAAATTGCACTTTCAAAGCTCATATTAATAAAAAACTCTTTAATAAAATGAAACTGATAAAAAATTAAGAGAATGTAACAAATTTCACAGTCTTCTATTATCTTTCCGAAACAATAATCTCCATCTCAAAAAATATTCTGATAAACAATAAATGAGATTTTTTACACACTTTCTGATATAGAAAATATATACTCCTCATCGCCTCAATTTCCTTGAAGTCGAACAAACACTTTCGATTGATTTGAAGTCAGGTCCTTCACAATTCAATTATTTTTTACATATTCTTCTGTTCTTTAGAATTCCTTTTTATTTAATCAATTTTACAAATATTACATTCATAAATGAAAGACTGGCACTATTAAATAATTATCTTTAGAACTTAAAAACAACTCTGCATCACAGAGTTAAATTAAAAGTAAATTCAGTGGCTTACCTAGGCTGATGCAACCGGCGCACAACCCTGGGAACTCAAAGTCAAAGGCTTCCAATTAGGATCCTCACTGACCCTCAATAAAGTTTTCGATAGCAATGACAGGCCTCATTTGGACTTTCTGCACTGGGGCCCCCGAGAAATGGCTGCACCCCCGGTTAAATGTCTTGACTATTAGTCATATGCAACAGTACTTTTAAATGCACACAACTTTTTAATTTTTCTTTCTCTTTATTAATCATAAAATTGCATTATTCTTGGTTATGAAGATTTCTTTGAAATCTATGAATTTTATGACTCGCTTTGATTCTTTGTTTCCTACATTATCCAAACAAAGAAGGAAAAATGTTTGACCAAATTCAAAAGCCTTGAAAATATGTAGTTTTTACACAACAAAATTTCAGATCTCTGTGACTTATCAGCATTCAATGAAGTCAAAAGTAGACAAACAGTGACTGCTGTTGTCCAAAAAGACAGAGTAAGGAAAAAATGTAAGTTTTAACTTACATTTTTATTTTAGAAAACTTATATTTTTTCCTTACTCAGAGAAATATAGTGTTTATAAAAAGAAATTACTGACCTTTTAAGAAATACTAATTATTGAAGAAAATATCTTTTATAACTGTGACGTATTCTACCTCCAGCTACAAAGGCAGCTAGATAAAAACACTTTGTTTGCAGAAACTTAAACTTGGGAACTTGTCGCTCTCTCCACGCACAGAGATAAACGAGTGCGTAGTTCACACTACCACGCAAACATTAAATTTTGCAAAATTTGAAGAATATTCTGTTAAAAAACATGAAAGAACTGTCAAAGAATCAGAAGCCATGAACAAGAGAGGGAGTGGAAGAAAATGTGGTAATTCAAAAGGGAATATTCTTTAGTCGGGCAAGATAAAAGACTGACAAATTTCAACGTGCAAACTTTCAGGAAATTCTAAACTATCAGAGGAAGACCAAAACGAAAGACCGTGATAAAATATGAAGTTGGTAGTGACAAAATCCATTATTATGATAATTGTAATGAATAAGAAAGTTGTGATAGCTCAGGCAATAAGTTTCAACATTCTTTTCAGCAAGACAATTTTCTGGTCAAAATGCAAAATTTTTTACCAAGTAAGAATTAATTACAAATTTAAAAATCTTCAGAGGGCCCCTTCATATTTACGAGGTCAACTTACTGATAAATAAGGAAGTAATAAAAAAGTGAATTGTAGAGATATTGTACCAATGGTGAAACGTTCAGACCCACAATGCATGTGGGTCCTGGTAAAAAAGAGCCTATTTTGGGGGTGAAAGTTTTAGATTGAAAGTATTGCGTGTGTCTAGGTAGTAATCATAGTCTCATGAACATGAATTTGTTAAAGCATATTTTTATTATTTAAGGTACTAAAACTACTTGTGTTTGCTGTACTCTTTTATAAAGAGAGCCCGGATAAAAGTCTTGCGAGCGGGCCTACACTCATTTCGTTACGCTACTGTGTAGCATCACTTACTGTATTTCATACACTAGAAATGTCAAACGCACGTCCTTAAAAAAAAGCTTTTCAGGTTATGCCCCAGTTGCAAATTGTGCTATTTTATCTTAGTTTTACATTTTTGGAAGAAGTAATAATAATATTTTCTCTTAAAAATTTTTAATAGTTAATTGCTCTTCATTGAAATAGCACCTTACGTGGGTAAAATTATAACTTAAAAGCAAGTATTAATTTAAAATAATGACATTTCACAATTTTTAATGCTATTTGAATTTTAAGTCTTGTAACGAAATTTACAAGTTTGACTTAAACACCATAATAAAACACATTTAAGATAAGAACATTATTTCTCTGACAATCAATGCTACTTCAATATATTATGATTAAAACTGTCAACATTGAACAAATTTGTTAAGATGATAATGTTGCTTCATTGATTAAAATAGTATATTGCTTTTTTCTGAAATGACAAGTATTAATGAGAATTCAAAAAAGCATTCAGACTTCCTAATATTATGAAGTTCACAAAAACATCTAGGTACCTAATGTGTGATAATCAACCGTTGGTATATTGTCCTATTAGTTAAACATAATGCACTGATGCAACTGTAGTCCACTTATGTTAACATATCTGAAAAAGAACATTCGAGAATATTCTATTTACAAGTCAAGAAAGAAAATATAAAAAAAACAGTGCACTCACATAAAAAATGGAATATTGCACAATCATTGAAAAATTTTCTGAAAACTACAGTTTCCAATCTTCAGTCTAATATACACACAATTTAAAAAAATTACATTACCCTACACAGAACTGAGAGCACATTGTTCAAAACTAACAACTTGAGAATTTCACTGATTCCATTATTGTTATGTTCATTGTTTCCCCTACACTCTCCATGATGTAACACACATTTTCCTATTAATTTCAGACAGTATCAAAGAGCATTTATAACCTTTCTCTGGAGAAAGGTTGCTCATGATATTATCTTCTTCTGGCTCTCTATCACTCTTGACTGACCTCTTTCTTTTCTTCTTTAATCGATGTCTATCATCATCAGCTTGTTCTGTGTGTTCTTCTGTGCTACTTCTGTTTCTTTTTTTCTGAAGCTGTTTGTAAAATAATTGTCTCACATATTAAATGATCATTTAATTGATAAACAACCTTTGAATTACATTAATATTACTACATTTTCAAACCAAGGAATTATCATTAACACATGTTCGAATATATGATGTTTAACTGCAACTCACCTTTTTCATTTGCTTGTCGTACTCCAGAGAATCATAATAATTAGGTTTCTCTCTTTTCACTCGCTCCGTACGTCTCCTCTTAGGAATACCTTCATCTTTATCAGAGGAACTTCCACTTCTACGACCAGTGATAAAAGCATGACCACAAGGGCACGTTTTGCAGGCTACAGGCATCTGTAAACAAAAATGTATTTCATTTAACTCTGGCCTAAATACATCAATTAATATAATGAAGTACAAAATAATTTTCGAAGATTATAGTAATCAAAATCCATAAAATTTCCTTGTAAATTATTAACTGAAAAAATGTATCCAGTCTTTTTCATTTTTTTCTTCTTCTTCTTCTTACCTGCAATCCACATTTTGGGCAACTTTTGGTAATCATCTTATGTTTTGGCATTATCGCAATTCTGGCTTATATTAACATCATATCGACCTAAAAAGCGCAATTTGAATTCCCAACTGCTTCAGCAGCGTTTAAATCAAATACTCGTACACAAAACCCTCGAAAATGCTGTTTGCTGTCACTGGCTGTCACAATAACACTCCACTGATAACACTCGATCACACCTGGATCACACGATAAATCATTCTTATTAAGTTCTTTGCTATTAACATAATACCAACATAATTTTCAGCAGGAAATAGAAAGATTATGGTTGAGACAAAAACAAATATGTGTCAGACGAATAATTATCACTGATACTTCAGTTCACAATTATTTTCAGATCTTCAAGCATTAAAAATCCCTTATATGTATTTTATGATGTCTTTAGTATCAATTCGTCATAAATTAATGACTTAACGAGAAAAATGTCAATTCGAACAATTGCAGACTTTTGACAGATGCAGTAAATTCCAAAAATGGCAAGACGACTACAAGCGAAGAAAGTGGCACGATTGGGCAGCATTTTTGGGTTGGGTACGATTGCCTGATTGGTCGGAAAGGACAACGCGTTGCGTCAAGAGAAAGCGTGGCACGCACCGTGGCGGCTATCTGTAAACGACCATTTGCTTCTAAAGGGTTTATTTTTACTGTCTATAAAAAAATTTGATTTATTTCACGTAGGTTTTAGGTCTTATGGTTGTCTTTGTTCTACCAAATTGTGTTGCAGAAAACATTCCACGCCCATGGAATGTTTTGTGCTCGAATGACAGTTTGGAAATAATTTCATTGTTAATTCAAAAAGGAACTCTTAACCAGGTAAGTGGACTTGTAATGTGTTATTTAGATATTCTTTCAGATATACAGATTTACATAAATGTTTATTTTTAAGGATGGAAGCAGTAGAAAAAGCCATTCAAAATCAGGTGTTGAAAGTAGCAGAAACTGTGGAGCAGCAGGTGGATGCAGAAATACAAGCATTGGAAAAGTTGGATATTGATGACATCGAGAAGTTAAGAGAGAAAAGGCTTCAAGATATGAAGAAACAGGCAAAGCAACATCAAGAGTGGCTGGCCATGGTAAATATAGTAATGGTGAACCTGTGCAGTATTTGACTTGGATGATATATAATGTGGCATGTGAATGTCTAATAAAATTCTGAATAATACATTGCATTAGAGTTAAGCCTCACCTGGTGAACATACACTTATCATGTTATTGTTATTGACATGATATTCATGTTGTCATTTAATTAATCTTCATGTTAATTCTATAATTTTATTTATATATTTACCAGTATTCGGGATGTATTCTTTTTTAAAAAATATTTTCTAATTTAAACATTAAATAAAACATAAGTCATAGATTTAAGGGGTGTTTGTTATATTTTTAATTATAACTTGCTTTTCTGGACTACATTCATTTTTATGAATTATAAAAATTCATTGATAAATTTGCTATTAAAGACTAAGGAATTTTGTTTGCAACACAAATTTAGACTATTGAATCATGGGATGGAAGTCCAATCTTGAAAATTTACAAATTAAATGACATTTGATGATTCTACGCTTGAAAATTAACATCTCTTGTTGCAACTCTGTTAGCAGCTGTTGAAACATTCATTAATAAAGACAAAGTTTTGATGAAACACAAAACATTCAAAAGCAGTTTATTGTTATTAATTTTTTTGTGATTTCCAAATTATATATATAAATAATTTTATTAATATAATATGAACCTAACTTATTAACATGATAATAGTTATTTTGTGCAATTTATTTGTATCTATAAAGGAGAATTTTGTAGGCAATCCAAATTAAATATTTGGCAAAAACAAAATTTGTTCCTTCTACAATTGAAATATTGTATGTGTTTTTTCTAGATCTTTATAATGATTAGATGAAAACTTGTCAGATGTAGAAAAAAGTATTAATCTTATAAGTTAATGCCTCATGCCTTATTTTCTTAATTAAGTTTCCTGAAGGTAATAGTAGTGTGGCTAATAGCACATTCTTTTATCATAGTTTACAGATAAAAGACCTCTGTCTGCATATGGAAAAGTTTCTTAAACACAAAACAGCAGTAATGACACTTATGCACCTATTTTTCAATCCAGTTGCTTAAATCTCTATCATACATAGTTTACAATTTAATTGTTTCCTTTATAGCGATCAAAGTATTATTTACTGTGCTTCTGAATTGTAGCACTAATATTTTTAACCTTTGACAAAGTATGTCATTGATTGGCTGGTATCAAGGAGCTGAACTGATAGAGATTAGGTACCGCTAAACAAAGTGGTTTGTAGCTTCAAATACAAACCTTCCTTCCAGCCAGCTGGTGACTTTCTACTGTAATTTGTATTTTGACATGTGTCAACTTCATTTGCTATCTTCTGGTTTTGAGCATATTGTTTCAATATTTTGTTTGTTCATTCCTGGAATTCACTTAGAAAACTAGGTTTTCATGAGCCCCATATTACTAATTTCTCGTTTTAAAACCTTCAGTTGTCATCTCATTGGCCTTCAATTGACAATTTCCAGTTTTTGTTCAAATATGTTTTTTGCATGGCAGTGGTATCCTCGAGTATTTAAAGACAATTAAACTTAAAGTATTTTTTTTTTAAACAAGATTATTTCTATTGGCTTCAATACACTAAAACCACGTTTCATGACACAAAGTGCCTGCATCATTAGTTAATCTGAGACAAAGAAACAAAAAACAGACATATTAAGAAGTCACAAACTGGGAACAGTCAAGTAGAAGCAACTGAACAGACTTAAAACAAGACATATCTAAGATGAACCACCACTATCCAAATCAAAAAGCCAAAAAATCCACTTCAAGAAAATAATGTTACTGATTTCACCTAAATGTTTTCAGTTCTGATAACTATTAATTTCATTGTAGTTATTCTCACTTTTATTCTCATTTTTCTAGGGGCACGGGGAATATTCTGAACTGACAGAAGAAAAAGAATTTTTTGATGTAGCCAAGAAGTCTCAGAAGATTGTTTGTCATTTTTATAAAAGTGATACACCAAGATGTAAAATTGTTGACCACCATCTCAAAAATTTGTGTAGATCTCATATTGAGACTCGTTTCTGCAAATTAGATGTGAATCGGGCCCCTTTTCTTACTGGTATGTAGTGAATTCCGAAATTATTTTTTCTTGTAAAGTAAAATACTTTTTATTCCACAATTTATACAGCAGGTTGTGCAAGCTTTTTATTATGCAATTTATTTTCTTTTTCTTTTTGCAGGACGCTTGCGTATTAAAGTAATTCCTACAATAGTATTAGTCAATGATGGTAAAACAAAGGACTACATAGTAGGATTTACAGATCTTGGAAATTGTGATGATTTTTCTACTGCCATGATGGAGTGGAGAATTGCTCAGTCAGGAGCAATCAATTACAATGGAGACCTTCTGCAGCCTCCTGAAGAAGGAAAGCGTAGCAAGAAATCAGTATTTATTTCAAAGAAACAAACAATTCGAGGAAAGGCTTCAGATAGTGATGATGATGATGATGATTATCAATAAACTTTTGGTACTTAATATTTTTGTAAACCTTTTCATGAAAATTAATCAAATTATAATGAAATATAATTTTTCACTAGCCCAATAATGAAATATATAGCATGAAACATAAATAAAACTAATAGATTATTTGTTATGTACTATCACATATGCACTATACATTTGCAGATGACAGAATTAGGAACTACTGTTGTTATGAAAGTGAGAGCCTGAACACAATCCGAGAACATACGAATAGTGCCGATGTCTAATAGCATCTGACCAATGCTGAGTCAATCCAGGAAAAAGTGTTTTGTTTTTGTAGCTTCTGAGAAGTTTGTGGGAAAATCAAATTCACTTCGGTCTGCGAGAGTGCATTCTGGCAGTACATTAATTATAATGTAGTGAACTACTACCATGAGGAAAAGAAAAGGGGTTATTAATATACCATTAGAAAGACCTGTGGACAGATGCAGTACAATACACTTTGTCATCGATAATACATGATATTTACCAAAGGCACGGAAAATATTATTTCTCCTTTGCACACTTGTACTACACTATAGCTATATGCTTCTACCATGAATTAATAGATCTGTTAATCTATGCTTTTACTCTGCCATACCCTGCAATGAGTGGACCTGTATCCTGTCTACAGCACTCTAAATCAAATCTAATCACTCAGTATCTACTGTAGAGGTGCAATTTTCATTCAGTCAACAGTGACCTCATGTAAACAGATTGCAGTGCTCTGTCTGCAAATGTAAAGTAAATGAGTAATGCAAGATCAGTTTTTGTTACCAATCATTAGTGTGCCACCATTAACAAAAGTGCCCTCTAGCTTTGAGATACCATAGAACAATACAGTTGTGTATTGAAGCACATTCTTGATTTGTCAGTTATCTGGAAGAGTTAAATTGTGAAAGGAGAGTCTTGTTATATGATTTGTGTGTATAGAGCACAACCAAGACAGATACAGTCCTGGTCATGAAACGTGCTGGGAATTCATTTCTCAGTCAGAAATTTCTCAGTACTAAATTCAAAGTGCTCAAATAAATTCTTTTTTATCTATTTTAAGAATATAAACCCATCAAGTAAACACTGTGTATTTTAAAGTACCCAATAACCTTGAAATAAATTCTTAATTTTTTGCGGCTTCTTATGCTTCACTAGGAACACTCCCCTTCCGCCTAGAGCATCGTGCCCTCTGCCCATTAAAGAACATTATTGAGTACCCATTTAGGCAAATGGATCAACAACATATTATACTTACAATTACTGAATTTATTTATGGTTTTCAATCAATATCAAAGATTAATATCCATGGTAATGTATAATGTTCATGTTGTAATATGTAATGTAAATTACCGTATAAGAATATTACATATACTAAATAAATTACATCAAATGTGCAATTTATTAGCAGAGTAATTGCTGGCATAATAATCAGTGTAACTGTTATGCATTTATACTATAATATGTATAACAAATTCTCTTTAAGAACAAGTTTATTATTGACATCTTCTAAATTTCCAGTGCAAGGCTAAAACTTGAAAATATTAAGTGCTAAAACTTGCTTATATTAAGTGTTCATTCTTGATATTATGTACCACTGGTATTTGAAACATCATTAAAATAAATAAAAGAGATACTGTGGGCTGAAATGAGAAAAATATGGTACTTCTTGGGGACACACTGCTCTGAGATATAGGTGGGAAAGGGTTAATGAAAATTCGCACCTTTAAGATACTAATACTATTCGTTAGCCATTTTCTGTTACATTTATATTTCATTGCTTTTTAGATTTCCAGTAGTTACATAGTATTGTAGCTTTCCATTTTACTTATTTTTCTGTAAGAAATTTCTTAAGTTTTTGGTCGGTAAATAATGTCTAGCTTTCCATTTTTGTCAATTGATCTACGATTGATATGAGAGACAAAACAAACTATCAACACAAGCAAAACTAATGAAGCAAGAAACAGGGAATTTGGAATATACATTCTTATTTTGACATGACCGTAAACAAAGGATTCTTCAAACTTCAACCTTTGATGGGCTAAAATGTATTTTTTGTGCAATTTTTTATTTAAAACTTGCAACTATTCTGGATTGTGGAGCAAGGCAGAATGAGAATGGAAAGAGTGGGGCTGACTTGGAAGGCATTCCATTGGGGGTGGGTCAAGGATATAAATAAAAATACATCAATTTTAACCTGGTAACACTGTAAAATGGGTGAAAAAATATAACTTGAGCATATGGCTTGGGTCTGAGAAGTAACAAATCTAACAGATTAAATACAAGAATTACATTACAAATGTGTTTATTTAATTGCTAGAACACTGCATTATGATGGTATAGTATTATAAATGAAAGCAATTTTGTTAATATATTCTGAAATTATTCTTTTGCCATTCGCCTGGACAAGTTAGGAGAAGACCCAAGTCTTGCTCCGCGAGCCCTCCAGGCCGGGTGGTGCATTGTGGCCCGGACAGTAGTGAAGAATTGTGCGAGGTTACGAGGTGTAATTTCTCTGGAGAAGTGAAGAATTGTGCGAGGTGTAATTTCTCTGGAGACTCAGCTGGACTGCGCGATGAATTGAGACATCTCCTGGAAGACGAAATTTTGGCTTGAACCTGCTGATTCTTAGATTTTGGTCGTTGAAAAAAATTAATAGAGATGTTAATTGTACGAACCGTTGTGCTTTTCTCCCTGATTACTCCTGAATACACATTTTTTTCTCTAAAAGCTGCCAGACAGTCTTTGAAAGATTGCGTACTCCAACACAAATCTGCGTTCTATGCTGAGGCGCATTGTAAGTTAACTTCAGACAGAGAATGAAGACGCAACATGTTTTGCTTTGAGCAGGAGCCCCAGACCACAGGAAGGGAGCGAGTGGAGGGAAGAGGAAGGTGAGTCAAGTACATAACAAAAAGGTTAAGCCGAAGCTACAGAATACACCGCCTGTTCGCAAGGTAGAAAAGAACACTACCTTTGCGAGCGCCGTGCACTCACCAACTACACAACATCCCGCGCAAGCACCGAGCTCGGAAAGGAAGGAGGGGATCTCTAGTGTCCGAAAGGGCATCCAAGAGAGAGCCGCCCATCCTGCCGCTGCCGTGCAAACACACCTGCTGCTACGTCGGAGACGGAGCAACTCCGAAAGGAAGTCGCCGAACTAAAATAGCAGCTTTCAAACCTCATCACACTTATACAAACTCTCTGCGCTCAACTGACAGCCCACAATGGCTGAACGCAGGGAAACACCAGAACCCGCCCCCATGCGGTGGCCGCCTGAAACGTCAACGGCCGTTCCGGTCACACGGACCCAGGAGATCGACGCCTAATCTATTTATTCTGTAGTAGACATCACATCGATGTTCTTTTATTCCAGGACACAAAACTCCTAAGCGCAGACGAACTTTAACTAAATGACATGGCGTAGCGGTTGCCGTACGTCGCTCGTTAACCCATCACCCGACAGCTTCTCGTCTCGCGAGGCTTGAAGCGGCAGCGATTGTGGTGAACACGACGGAAGGCAAAGTTGCACTGGTGTCAGCATACCTAGCACCAAATCGTCCTCTCATAGACGACGATTTCGACACTGTGTTCTCTCTAGCACCTCGCACGGTCTTAAGTTTCGCAATCATCTCACTTCACTACACTCTGAAGCACAAGCATCGTAGACTATGGAGTCGACAGAAACCATAGACGCAAATATACACACCCTCACAAAACATGTACAATCAGCCCACAGAAAGGCAACGCCGGTTTTCAGGGGCCCGCCCGAAGAGAGCTCAAACCTACTTCCTCCAGAAGTCGAAGAGCTCTTGCGCGAAAAACGTCAGGCTAGGCGACTTTGGGAACAGTTTAGGTGCCCTGCGCTTAGAACACAGCTGCGTGAATGCGAAAAAGTCTCAAAACGGCGCACGCAAACCACCACGCAGAAGAGTGGAAAGAACGTATGAGAGAGATCGGTTCCGATCACAGCAGTAACGGCATTTTCAAACTCCAAAAAGCGCTCAGGTCAGTACCTAAAACCGCAACCGCCATACGCGGCCACGATAATGCGGGGGTAAACCAACATACCTCTTCTCAGATCAAGCAAAGGCAGAATTCTTCGCCGACATGCTTGAAGAGAGGTTTGTCAATAACACTATAAAGGCGGTAGATGAGGAGAAAACAAAGGACAGCGCCAATACACTAACGCATTGTACAGTCGAAGACGTTTCGACTACAATTAAATGCTTGCGTTGTCGTAAGGCGCCGGGTCCCGACCGGATAGGCCCTCCCGATAGGCCTTATCGGTTATAAGCATGGAGCTCGGATCTACAACAGCTGCATTACACAGCGGTACTTTCCGGACAACTGGAAATACGCAAGTATTTCTATACTTCTGAAACCCGGTAAGGATCTCACGATCGCGGCGAGCCGCAGGCCAATCAGCCTTTTCACTGTATTAACAAAAGTATTCGAAAGGCTACTCCTCGCATGAATCCTTCCAACTGTTTTCTCTCGAAATCTAATTCAAGACGAGCAGTACGCATTCAGACACGCCACTCCGCTTCTCTACAAGGCTCAGAGAATATCAGCTGATTTGCTACTCACACAGGATGTACCTGTCATTTACCTCGACATGGCACAAGCCCTTGACAAAGTGCCGCACAACACACTTATCACGAAACTTCGGCGCCGCCTTCCACAAGACGTAACCGAAATGGTTACGTCTTATGGTTTCCTCAAAACCCGCACATTCGTGGTAAATGTGGAAAAAGCGGAGAATTGCGGCCGGGGTCTCTCAGGGCACCGTCCTCTCTCCGCTGTTCTCGCTGAATGTTAATGACATACCACGAATAAGGCTATTCCTTTACGCTGATGACATAGCTATCTTAGCAAGAGGAATAAACCTAGACCACAAACTAAAGATACTATAGAAATTGATGAACCTGAGGCTTAAGTGGGCAGAACAAAACCACTTGACTTTCTCAGCGAAAATGTCTCAGGCAATGTGTTACACTCGCCGCAAACAGAAATACACAAAGCGTTACACACCGCCAAAACAAATCACACTTAGTACTCAAAAATTGAAGTGGGCACCCAAGGCAACTTACCTGGACGTCACTTTTGATCGAAGGATGCGCTGGCATTTACATATCAGGCGAATTCGATCAAAACTTCAATACAGAGTCCGCCTCTTACAACCTCTTTTGAGGGAACCCTCACTCCCCTTGGACCTTCGTTTGGCACTCTACAAAACGTGTTGCCGACCTGTGGCCACCTACGCCACGACGACGTGGTGATCCACAGCGAAGAAGTACAAGGATACACTTGAGCTCATTCAGAACAGAGTTCTGCGGCTCATAGCGCCCCCTCCGTTTCGGAAACGGTTGAAAGTACTCAGAAAGGAACTCGAAATCGAGTCTTTCACACAATGCTTGAGGGGGCTATCTTTTAATGACGCCTATCAAGCCTTTCAATCAAGCGAAGCACCGGCTACGCTCAAACAATTGGCCCGACATGTCCTAACTATAGGACACAGAAGACAAGCTCTCCCCTCGGATATCTTGAGGGTGTAACGCAGTATACACAATAAACGATAAAGTCATAAATATGACTGACCTCAAAGGCCGATCTGGCAAATGACAAAGATCCGGCGCGAACCTGCACCAACCACCTACACAAAGCAGTAAAACGCTCTGCGTGCGTACTGCACAACACAATTCACACAAACTTTCGGCTTCGCCGAAAAAAAATCCCAGCGCGTACCAGTCCTGAGGAAGACCACAAGATGGTCGAAACTTCGGCAACACAGCCATCGACGCGGGGTCACCCGGGCAACCAAGATCATGCACATGACTCTGGCTGCGGAAGCCTACGACTTCAAGTATTGCATTAGATTTGTGTAAAACTCGAAACATCGTAGATGGTCATTACAACTCTGACGTTCACGGTGAGAATGTGAATAGCGTAAATAGTTTGTCAGTAAGTGTGAATGTTGAATTAGATATTTTATTGTAAAACGAAAAGGGGGAATAGGAGATGTTTTTGTATGTGCTGATTTTATCGGCAACGACACGGAGGAAAGTAGCGACGGCGCGGGTTGACGCTGCCGAATAAATAAGCGGTACCGCTGAATAGGGTGCTGAATGTAAATTGAACACTGTTTATTTCTCCTTTAAGTTGTAAACTAAGATTATTTCCCCACCCATTACAAATAATGATAAATATAATTTTCCATATCCAGTAGAGGAAACTTAGGTCCCACGACCCAGTATAAAGTTTCCAGGGGCAACGCCGATCGTGCATTAATATTAGTTTAAAATTTGGAATAAACAGAGAGCTTGAATTAAAATACGTAAAGTAAAGAAATAATTATAATAAAGACAGGCGCGACGGAACGGCCACAATATACCGTGTGACCCACCTAAGATGTTCCTTTCAATTTTCTCCTGAACCGTTGTAGATACTGAAATGCGGTTTTCACTAAAACTACTGTATGCAAGGGGCACATATGGTCATGCATTATATTATTCTATTGCATTTTTTATTGTAGAGATATTGATCCAACTTCGATTTTTTAAATGGAACCCTATACATTTTTTTAGCTCATCATAAGCGTGAAGAGACGAGTTCATAAATATGCATATCGCCATTTGTAACATAAATTTTTCAAGATATTAAGAGTTTTAAAGACACGCGCCGACTGCTGGTTTCTGTAATCTGAACGAGAAATTCCGGGTGATATGCGGCGAGGCCATTCCCTTCCGTTGCGTCGACCCTGCGGTAAATGTAGTGATGCAATGTGCAAAGGAGCTCACGAAAACCCAAGATTTGCTCTTTAAGACTACACCCTCTTAGTCCTGGAGACAATTTATTCACCCATCGCCATGTTCTGAGCAAATCTGTACACCAGAAGGTACTATTTTTTAAATTAATTAAATACTACAAAATTTGAGAAATCAAGGGAAGATTGGAGAGTGATCACGTTCTGAATTAATAAATGCGTGTACTGTCAGAAACAAAACGTATACTCTTTTAAAGAATGAAAACTTCGGCCGTTACAAAAATATCGTGTAAATAAAAGTAAGAAAAATACTTTAAAATACAGAAACAAAAGGTAAGTTAAAAATTTTAGAAATAGCTTTATTTATAACATGTACTCAATATGTGCACCATCAACGGATATACACATTTGAAGACGCTTGTAAAGAGATCTTCGAACAGAATTCAGTTCCACGTGAAATGGCATGACAAGATACGGTAATGCGGCGCCTCAGATCTTCAGATGTTGTTGGTACTTGTGAGTAAACGTCTGTATCGTTCCCCATAAAAAATAGACCAGGGGCGTAAGATCAGACGATCTTGCCAGCATACAGCACCGCTCCCAAACCATCCTGTTTTTTTGTTTTTGTTTTTTTGTTTGTTTTTTTCTTTCAAATTGAAGAAACCCCTGTCCATCTGGCTGGAGTCGCACATTCGAGATTTTGAAAAAATAACTTTAAAATTTGGAGTTACTTTACATGAAGCCCTCAAGACATTTTCAAAATTTTCTCCAAAACAGCTCCAAATTTTTTTCTTTAAAGTTCTTGTAAGAATATACTAACATACACTTATAAAAGTGGCGTAGGTACGATTTTCACTGTTAACTCTGAATTTTTCGAAAATTTCGAAAGAATTATTTTTTCCCGGTGTCTTTCTACTACAAAGTCGAAGATAGATATTTTTCCTTCAAGTGAAATGTGTTCTCCTTAGTGAGTTCTTTCATTGAGGTCATGTACATTTTTTTAAATTGTAATTTTCGCGCAATATTGCGAGCAATATGAGAGCAATTTTAAAAAATAACAAAAACAAGATTTTCTCGTAAACGGCTCCATTTTTTCTTTAAACTTTTGATAGGGATAGTACTAAATTACCCTCTTAGATGACATGTCATGCTTTATATAAAGTCATAAAATTTCTCGAAAACGCATTTTTCTGTAAAACGAGCTCAAAATTTCGCATTTTCAGAAACGCTCCATTGCCGATTTCTCAAAAAACTGTAACAATTTTTGCTTCAAACTTTTCGTTCAGCTTGTGCTAATTGCACTGTTAATGAATACCTCAAATTAATTTTGTTGTATTATTTTGTTGTTTTCAAAAATGTCACAAATGTAATTTTTTTAAATATTTCTCATGCCTTTAATATGCACATTTCCAGCAATACATTATTTCATTTTTAGTAGAAGCGCTTCAAACAATTTCCAATAAACTTTTACTAAAAATCAATGGTTTTTCTGTGGAAAAAAACTAACTTCAAATCGCGCATTTACATTAACTCTTAAATGCAATTTTCGTAAAAACGACTCCAAATTTTTCAACGAAAATTCCATATAGGATGCGGTTTTAGTTTTCTATTATAATCTTGAAGTGTTTTTTTCGTTTCTTTTATTAGGAAACCTACAAATTGAGCAAAGTGAAAAATATTTGGGTGGCGATAGATGGCAGCTGGCAAAAGGATGAGGCACGACCGAAAACATATACTCGGCCAAAGAAATTAGAACTAGTACGAGAAAGTCTGTGCCATTCTGTTGCACCACTAGTTCTTTAATTATATCCATAATCTTGGCATGATGTTGACACTTCGTGCCACGAATTTCCGCAATAACATCAAGTTGCAATGCTCGTTCCAGACGCCGTTTAAAATCAGGAATAGGGCATATTAGTATTCATTAGACTTAGACCACTGACTTCATTATTCACAATATTCCATACCCCTTCCAAGGAATTTAGGTCTGGGCTGTTCCCTGGGCCGTCTAATACTTCGATGCCTATCTACTGCAGATGTCTCATGATACATTTTGACAGGCAGGATGTCCCATTGTAATGCCTTTCGCTGTAGGTGTCGTGCTACTAGCAGCGATTGCAGGCAATTACAAATGCTTCCAGTGTAGGATGCAAAAAAGTTGAGTTCGCAGGGAAGCTAAGTTCCCTGGAGGAGCGTGGTGGTGAGCGAGGTTTCAAGTACAGAGACCAAGTCCGATGAAGTATGAAAGTTTAATTGAAAAATAGAGCTGCAGAGCAGCGTGAAGTTGACACAGCAAAGTCTGTAGGCTGTCTGTCCGATATCAACGCTACAGGATCCTTATATGGGAAACAGGGAGATTTACGAGGCCATTACGCCACCCCCGCCAGAACTCGGCATGCCCTGGACGCAATAAACTGACATAACTGTCAGAGGACTTTTGCCCTTTTGAAAACTCACAAGATCCCAAACATTCCTGTTTCCACGTCTGGATCGTGTTAGCGTTGACGGCGGTTTGGGGTGCCCAATCACCCATGACCTCAGGCAGGGCGCCTGCTCCAGACACGACCCTATTTTAAACATGTTTGAAGAGTGATATTTCTTTCACGTACAGTTTGAAAGAAATATTCATTGCTCTTCTTAAGCAATGCGTACTTCATAGGTGCATTTACCATTACTTCATAGGTGCATTTACCATTACACCATTATATTAGTTTCCTTAAAGTACTCAGACTTAAAGTACTCTCCCAGTAGTCTATACTTGCTACTGTCAATCTTGCATAATTTCCACCATCAACTCATCTGAGAAGCAAACTAGCAACACGGAAATAAATGTAAAAAAACATGAACAAATCAGTAATTAAAAATATTTTTAAATTTTAATAAATTTTTGATAAAGCCAGCAACAGAGGGATGTCAATGAACAGAATTAAGTCAGAAAGGATAAGAATAAATAATCTTTCCTATGACCAATCACTTGCAGTCCTATCATTATGCCTCAAAGACCACGATAAATGCTTTCTCATGGCTGGTTTTAACTTTGGCATTTTTATTGGTTGGTGGCATCATAATTCACATCCGTGAAGTTGCCTACGAACAGTCTTTGTGCTTAAATTACATCCTGTATTATTTAAAAGATCATGAATGTCTAAACAGCAGCCTTTCGCTTAATCAAGGCAATTTTTTTCAACATTTATTTCTGTCTTTCTCAGTTCCCTACAATTTTGCTGCACTGTAGTTCACCTAATTCTATCTTTCTTTTCATTATTCCAAAACTTTGTGGAGAAACATTACATTTCCTGGCTATGCTCTCAAGTTAAAAATCTTCAACAAAATTTGAATTTCCCTTTTCTTCCTTCAACATAGGTCTCTTTTACCATTGCTATTGTTTCCTTATGAATCACAAATGTAAAACTCAATTCATACAATATTCATTCAAGAAACTCAGATAATTGTAAACTTACGTTATTAAGTTCAACAAAACAACTTCCTATCTCAACAGTGTGAGTAAACAAAGAGCGACTGAACAAAACACTCTCACCACATATAGTAACTAGTAACACCACATACCCGGAAAATCTCAGACTTCTACGTTATCTAGCGGTGACCAACTGAATTACTTATTCAAGACAAAGGAGGAGCCCTACATTCATTTCCACTCACACAAACAAACTGAGTGAGTACAAAGTTGCTAAAAAATCCAGAAATAGTATCAAAAATAGATATTCTTAATTTGTTGCCAAGTGACTGTATGTGTGTGTGTGTTGTATGATAAAAAATATTTATCCAATTTCCATTGTCCAGGGTTCAGCAACAAGCTTCTGTTGAAAATTTGTAGTTTTCCTGCAGCATTACAATACTTTCTCCATACTGCGTAAGCAGTAAGCAAGAAACTAAATATACCAATAAAAAATGCTGTCCAGTTTTCTTGGAACCTAAACAATGTCAATAATATTATGCAGGAAAGTTAAAAATTTGTACACCACCTTCCTTGTGAATGGATAATTACCACTTAACACTACTGGCAGTTGAAAACCATTGGCATATCTGGGCTATTAACAATGAAACATGTTCTGAAATTTATTGGCCCTTTCACAAATATCTCTTACAGTTAGTAAGTTACTTTTTATTCATTGATGTCTTATACACTTTTTGTTTGTTAAAATATATCTATATATAAGTACACAATTTTCCACACAATATTTAAGAAAAGGACTTGTTTCCCCCCCACATGAAATAATTCTGTTGCTCATGAAGTAATAAGTTGCTTCCACTCAGAAAGGTGAATAATTTTAATAAAACTTAAGTCACAAGAGCCATTTCAGTTCAATCCCTATTGTTCCCCAATGATTTAAATAAAAGAGCACCAGCAATAGCCAGGGCACCCACTCCAACGGCAATTGTTTCCCACCCGTGTGAGTTTGCTTGCGGAAGAGATTCAGTAGGACTCTCATCTGTGGATGGATTTTGACTCCTGGAAAGGGAAAATTAATTATTGTTTATTCAAATTTGTTAGTTCATTAGAAAGACCTCAATAACATTGAATTACAAAACATGGTCAACACATTCCCATTATATGGTCTGACAAACCACATTACTTAAAATTGCCACTACTTAAAACCTGTTGGAAACCAGCAGGCAGTGACTACGCTATATTACACATGGTGTATCAGAATAAATGTAACAAATTTATAAGGCATGTAGAGGGGTCAAAAATTATAACTTTTTGACAATTAACATACAGTGGAAAATTCCAAAGAAAAGTTACACATGTGACATTTCTCCTTAATTTTTAGTCAATTTCTTATTCACAAATGCTTGGCAAATCATGTTCTGACATATTCAAGAAGATTATTAGTATGGTACCTGTCGAACATCTGTACATATAGGGTTGCTTAACAATCAAGGACAAATGCTTCACATAAAAATGTATGAAACTCCATTATACACAATTTTCCACAGTATTTTCATTGATAAAAAGAGATCAGTCTCGACCCGCTTTCCTGTCCAAATTGTTTGTAACATTTAATCTGAGACACCTGTAAATATATAATACAATCAAAGGTGTGTGCACAAAGCACGGCAAGGCGGTGTGCCCACCTCTGCAAATTTTGAAAGGTCTACTCCTACTACTACTTCTACTACTACTACTACTACTACTGCTACTACTACTACTGCTACTACTACTACTGCTACTACTACTACTGCTACTACTACTACTGCTACTCCTACCACTGCTACTCCTACTACTGCTACTCCTACTACTGCTACTCCTACTACTGCTACTCCTACTCCTGCTACTCCTACTCCTGCTGCTCCTACTCCTGCTACTCCTACTGCTACTGCTGCTACTGCTACTACTGCTGCTGCTACTACTGCTACTGCTACTACTGCTACTGCTACTACTTCTACTGCTACTCCTACTACTGCTACTGCTACTACTGCTACTCCTACTACTGCTACTACTACTACTACTACTACTACTGTTACTGCTATTGCTACTGCTACTATACTACTACTGCTACTATACTACTACTTCTACTATACTACTACTACTATACTACTACTACTACTATACTACTACTACTATACTACTACTGCTACTATACTGCTACTACTACTATACTACTACTACTATACTACTACTGCTACTACTACTACTGCTACTACTACTACTACTACTGCTACTACTACTACTACTACTACTGCTACTGCTGCTGCTGCTACTGCTGCTGCTGCTACTGCTGCTGCTGCTACTGCTACTACTGCTGCTGCTACTACTGCTGCTGCTACTACTACTACTACTACTGCTACTACTGCTACTACTACTATTACTACTACTACTGCTGCTACTGCTACTGCTGCTACTGCTACAACTGCTACTTCTACTGCTACTGCTACTACTACTACTGCTACTGCTGCTGCTACTGCTACTACTGCTACTACTACTACTACTGCTACTACTACTACTACTACTACTGCTACTGCTACTGCTACTATACTACTACTACTATACTACTACTACTATACTACTACTACTAGTTCTATTATTATTATTATTATTATTATTATTATTATTATTATTATTATTATTGTCTTAAAATATTTCAAAATTACATTGTATCAATATTCCTAACTGTAATTTGTTAATTGTAATGTTCTGTCACCATGTTGTATAAACCTACCTGCAGAAATAATAAATCTATCTATGATGATATTCAATTACAAAAGACTAAAACTACAATATTTTGTCAAAAGTTATCCTGAAATTTCAGTAGCAACAAAATGTTAAATAACATTTTCTGACTTATAATGTTTGTTAATGCACATACACAACATACCTGTCACTCATTGGAAATAATTTTTCAATGTATTGGGGATTTCCATCGGTAAGATTTCTGTCTATGTCCTTAATGATACGATCAAGTCTATATCCAATTTTCTGAATTTCAAGCAAGTCAATGGATGATAAAACATTAAGTCCGCTGTCCCAAAAGAAGGGAATGGATTGCTTATCTTTCAGGTAATCTCTTAGAGTTTTCAACATCTGAGGAAGAAAGAAAAAAATAAATAAATACATTTCACTAAATACACATATACTATTTCATTAAATTTCAAAACTTTATTAAACTTTAGGATACTGACATTCATGAACACAACTCCAATTCCAGCATTCCAAAAGTGTGAATCAGTTTTTGTTAGAGTCCACAAGTATACTGTCTTAAGATAGTAACTTGATAATGAATGCCAACCTTCTTTATCACGTAGCAACTGCAAAAGTAAAGAAAATCAACAATTTTTTAATTCACATTTTTACATTTCTAAAAGTTTTTAATACAGAACTTGTGATCCAAAAATTAATTTCAAAAAATTAAAATATTTATACTTCTGAAGATCCTGGTATGATAAAAAAAATTGTTACCTTCATGAGTTTTAATGCATTCTTCAAATGATTTTTATTATTCAAAATTACTTTTTCTTGGTTGTAGAAAGACATTCTCCAGAAAGTTCCAATGTTTCCATTTCCATCAATATAATTGTTTGGTTTTGGAACAACACACCATTGCTTGAATTTCCAACCCACAATTAAAAATAATTACAATCATACATTTCATTTTTACAATCATAGATTTCTTAATTTGAAGCACATTGTATTTAATTGTAATTCAGTTTGTAGTGTCAACAGGATTTATAGACAATCTATGAGTCTCCAGTTTCTCTAGAAAAACAAATTACTTCAAAACGTGATCTTGCATTTTGTTACCTGTCTTCACAAACATCTTCCTCTCTCCTCTTCCATCTCCCCTCTATTGTTGTCATTTCTCCCCCCCCCCTCCCCGTTCTCGAAGTTTTGTTTCCCTAACTGCCTTTGCGTCATATGAAACTCATATTTTGCCTTGTTTGAGAGCCACCACTGGGACTGCATGAGACATAGGTACATGCATTCCACATACACACTGCATGTGAAACGTGTGATTTAAGAATTCACCTGTTTTTGAAGTAAATTGTTTTTTATACAAAAATTGGAGATTTATGGATTGTCTACAATTCCAATGGATATTACAAATTCCACAATTGTAATCAATCAATTCACACTGTTTTCCATATATATTATAATCCTTTTTATAAAATTTATTTTACCTCGGCAAATTTGTTATTTGTAATTACTGGCTGCCTCACTGGTGATCTGGGCCACTGACTAGGATCTAACACAAACACTGGCACCAAATCCACGCTGAAAACTTCTCCAGGCACATATTCTGCATATAGAGTGACAGCTGGCCCTGACATTCTTCGCCATAACTGAAATTTAATTAGTATGTTTACAGCTGTACAGTAGATCCAAATGAAAGGTACTTTCTAACGAACTAGCAGTGCTTCAGAATCGCACAGACATTCCCATTTTAGTTTTATATTTCCTTTGCTCTCAGTTACCTATTCGAACTTGCCACATATTCTTACCTGCTGCCATCAATTGCTGCCCAAAGTACTTTTTTTCACATTTTCTTAATTTTTCGGTTTCCTAGTTGCAGAGTGGAAATATTATTATAATATTATTAAAATACAGTAAAAGCTAGTCCTAAATGGCAATTTTCTTTGAAAAATTTGGAGCCGTCTTTTAAAAACTGGAGTTTAAGCGCTACTTGTAAATTCGAAATTTAAAGCTCTTTTTCACAGAAAATTTTTGAGTTTTCTAAAAACTTCATTAGAAGTTATTTGATGCACTTTAACACACAAATACAATAGTGTTTACAAATTGCTGGAAATGTGCATATCAATGGCTGAGAGATTTTCCAAAAAAATTTCATTTTTGAAAAAACAAAAAATACCCCGAAATGAACTTTGTCATATTAAAGAGTGCAATTAGCATTATCCGTTCGAAATGTATAAAGCAAGAATTTGGTGCCTTTTTGAGAGCGTTTCTGGCGTTTGAGCGTTTCTGAAAATGGGAAGTTAGGGCTTGTTTTCACCGAAAACAGTAGTTTTCGCGAAACATTACACGACATTATATACACATGTACTCATAAATACAATAATGTGAACACTTGCTGTTAATATAAATATTAATGACACGGAGACAAGTGAAAATTAATTTTTTGTAATTTTTGAAAACACAAGAGTAGAGCAATATGGTGTTTATGTCATCTTATGGAGTAGATTTAGAACTAACCCTACCAAAAGTTTAAAGAAAAAATTTGGAGATGTTTTTGAGAAAATCTTTTTTTTTATAATTATTAAAATTGCACATATTGCATCAAATTTTATGTGAAGGAAAAATCTGTTTCTTTAATTTTGTAGTAGAAAGACACCAACAAAATAATTATTTTGGAATTTTCGAAGATTCCGAGTTAACCGTGAAAATACGCCACATTTATAAGTGTGTGTTACTCTATTCTTACAAGAAATATAAAGTAAAAATTTGGGACAGTTTTCGAAAAAATTTTGAAAATGTCCGGAGGTCTTAATGTAAAGTATCCCCAAATTTTGAAGAATGTTTCTCAAAACGTCAAAGTTTCGACTCGAGCAATATGAACAAGGGTTTCTTCAATTTGGAAAAAAATACTACGCATGGTTTAGGCGCTACATAATACATAAATATTAGTTTGTATAAAACACGTTTCGTAATTATTTGACTTTCCCGTTTACGTACAGAGTATATACGTAATGTAGGGAATATTTTGTAATGCTGCAGAAAATCAATTACGAGATTTCAAAGGAAATACACGTTTTGGGGTCCCCTGATACATATAAAGTGTTTTTTTAAACGTCCGTCCGTCCGTCTGTCTGTTTCGTTCCAATTTTAGTATATGGACTGCCGAAGCACTTCTATTGTACACATCAAGAAAACGGAACAAAATAGAAAAATTATGGATCTCCAAGTTGGACCCCTGCAAACAATCTACTTTTTGTAAGTGATTGTTTTGAATATAAAAATAATTTCCTATTGGAACACATTTTCAAAATGCCAGGCCCTAAATCATCCAATACATCACATATGCCTAATACAGTGTGGGTAAATATGCTAATATTGCCAAGCATTTACAGAGCAATACAAAATGTCTTAAACCTTGGCAATTAAATTAACAAAGAATATCAATTAGTCAATTAAAGTCTACGTACATTTCGAGACTTCGGGGTTTCCAACTGAAGCCATGAATTGGGGGGGGGGGGGCAGGTACATACACGAGCTAAACTTCTAAAAACGGTCTTATTTTATGGATACATATTATTTCTATTGGAGAGATCGCTTTTCTGGCTGCAGAACTGAGCCTTCTAAGAAAATTATGGTATTGTTTGAGAAGTGTTTTTACTGATTATGGGATAGAATGTCTGAAATTGAATTGAACATCACCCACCCGTAGTAATTATTACTATTATGCGACTTACAATATGCCGCACCACTCGGAAACGATGGTTTGGAAGTCGCGTCTGAGCTCTTGCTATCTGCTCCACGACGAGTTTTTTAGTCATGAAACCAGCTTTTCGTGTTCCGACTTTCGGAGGATCACAATTCCTGCTTTTTACTTTCTACTACTGTTCACGCACAATAGAGAACGTATTGTAATGGTGCAGAAAAAAAAGAGCGAATTTTCGACACAAAAACTTTTATTGCCGGGTCCTGGTATCCAAATAGTGGAGAAATCGTGCCCCTGTATATAGTAAATTACTTCCTCTGACACGGGGTTCCAATGTCTCGGGGGTGTATGCGATGCTCATAAACGCAACCGTATGGCCGTAATAGCCACCAGTAATGGGTTTGCCGTTGCGTAGCCGACAAGTCCACTCTCTATCACGATACTAGCCATAGCGATGTCCCCCTAATTTTTTTAAGCTCCAAAAGCAGCAAGAATTACAAAAGTAAGCTATCAGCGTTGAGTAATTTCCGTAAGTTCCCGGGTCCGAAAGAATCAAAAGGAGACTTTATATGTGAGTTATGCTCTGCCAACTTCGCAACCAAATCAGGGCTCTCACAACATTTGCCCTGGGTCATTCAGACGCAGCTAATAGGGTTCAAGCTGCCAAGCGCAGCGTAGTGGTAGGACCGCTGTGCCTAGAGCAGGGAAAGCTATCTCTTCGGAGGAAATTATGAAAATGGCTGCATTGGAGAAAGAGCAACCAGAGACGTCGAACGAAAATTTGGCCGCTGTAATGGGCAAGACTATCTTACAGATGAATGTGAAAAGAAAAGAGACTACATATCGAAGATATTAAGCAACCATTGAAACTGAAGCTACCGTCACTGCAGAATCATCATCGTCCCTTCTGATGGTCGGAGGTCCGATGATTCAGCTAGACCTTCTACTAGTGCCGCTGTTATCGCATCGCCTCTCAGGGTCATTAGCCCTCCGAAGACTTCAGTAAGCCAAATCCCCATGCCGATTTCTTCTTCTCCTCTGTATCGAAGGCCTACCATTAGGAGAGATCCCCTGCTCTGACACTTGCCCAAAGGGGATGGAAACGTCTTTACAGGTCGAGATAAGCAAACAACCTGGTACCGATTCCCTTCGAAAACCACGGACCATTGGCAGTGGCCCTGAGGAACTTGCAATGGTAGACATTGCCTCCCCGGAAGCAGATTGGGGGAGATCCTCTAATGAGGAGGTCGCTATATTTTGAGAGGCGAATCAGGAGCTCTTGGCTGTGCCCGTCCTCTTTGAGTCTGTTTTATCTGCTAATGACATGACCCGTTCCGACACCGCTGGTCGGTTAGAACGGGACCAAACTTATTGAGTCTTCGGCTGCAATGACCGAGAGAGTACCTACTGAAACTTGTCTTAAAAGAGCTACGCTAGACGCCAAGACTAACTGGAAGGAAAAATTTCAACTTAGATAGGGACCTGGTGGAACTCTAATATAGATCAAAAGCTCGTTGAGGTGGGAAATGAACTCAAAACAAATATATAATCCCAGAACCAATTGAACGAGACATATTCCAAGTTAGTGGAGACTTTGGGCGGCTCCTCTGTACCCACTACCATCAGTTCTAAAATGCCCCGTAGACATGGAAGCAAACGCGCATGGAAGCGCTACTCTTATGCTAGGACGCAGGACCTTTTCAAGAATGATGCAATGCTTTTGAGAAAGTGCATTAGAACGGGCATTGACTGTAATAGTGCCAATAAACTGATCCTTAACAGGGATGAGGTTAATAACCTGTACAAATTCATCAGGGATAACACGCCCCCGATTCGGCTTTCCGAATTAAGAGAGGATGACCAAACTAATTGAGTTTGACACCTGATTGAGGTTGTTGACACCTGAAATGGATCCAGACACAATTCTATACGTGGTGCAAGTTTCCGAAATTAAAAGCTGTCTGGCTGGAATGAAAAATGCCATGGCTTCAGATAAGATAAAAGTTAGCCACATATCCTCAGGAGCAAAAATTGAAATATTGTCCCTATTGTACACCCAAATTTTATAGAGTGGCTGTGTGCCTTCTGCGTGGAAAGCTAATCGCACCATCCTTATACCAAAAGAGGGTATGGGTAATACGTTTCACACTATCGCCCCATCACAATTAGTTCTCTGCTGTGCAGAATCTTTTGGGGCATTATGGACAAACGCATTCGATCCGTGGTGAAGTTCAATCCACCAGAAAGGGGTTTATCCCTGGACCTGGCTGTTTCGGTAATATTCAAATTCTTTATGAAGCAGTCTGTGACATGAAAAAAGCAGAAGGTGGTGTAAGTGCTGTGCTAGATATATCCAAAGCATTTGACACTGTTCCTCCCTCGGAGAATCGTTGGGCTCTGTCAGGGAAAGGGATCCCTGACGTCTTTACCAATTTGGTAATGGACTCACGCCGATGTTTCTACTGTCAGTCAGCACCTCTCGAAAGGAATTGAGATGCCAATTCGTAGAGGGGTAACACAGGGGGATCCCTTGTCCCAACTCCTTTTTAATCTCATCATGGAGTTTCTGCTTGTGAAATTGGAAAACATGTCAGGATATACGCTATTGGAAAGGAGTGTGTCCGAGTTAGTATTTGCTGACGATCTTAGCAAAATATGCCCCAGGAGTTAAGAATTGATTTATATAATGATGGAATATCTTGTAACCTCGGAACATTGTCCGTCGCGAAATGTTCATCACTTCAAATTACAACCTTTGAACGATCCTGGTTCATTTTGGACCCCTTTCTGGAAAGGTTGGGGGACAGAATTCCTCTGGCCAATAATGATCATACACTAACATACTGGGACTGAATTACTCTTATCTGAAACGGCTTCC